GCTGGTCACATACCTCTTTGCAAATCTGCCAAAAGCCTTCCCCCGATAAAGGCACATTGTTTTGCACCTAAGTGCAGGGGGTGGGGTCAAGTCTCAGAGCTCCTGGGGTAAACTTGGGCTGTTTTAAGATTTTCTTAGGTACCAGGGACCTTCTCTTTTGGGCGCCCCACCCCTCATCCTCTCAAACACTGTCCTAGACATCCTCAGCTCACCCTGAATTACACATACACACACACACACACACACGGAGTTGAGTTGAATTACGGTTGTTTGACCGTGCTACATTTTGTAGATATGCAATGAAACATTAATTTCAGTTCTGCCTTTTCTTTTCCTATCTTGGAACCAATAAACTTTTTTGGTAAATTTTATTGGAATGTACCATACATATAGAAAAATACACAAATCTTAAGTGTACAGCTCCACAAGTTCTCACAAAGCAAGCCCATCTGTGTAACCAGCACTCTGCTGGAGAGACAGATCGTGAGCACCCGGTGGCTTGCTTTGTGAGAAGTCTCCCCAGGCCCCCTTCTGTTCACTACATCCCACCCCAGGGCAGCTGCTTCCTGACTTCTAACACCAAAGATTCGTTTTGCCTGTATTAGAATTTGTTATAAGTGGAGTCATCGCTTGCACTCGTTTTGTGTCTCGTTGCTTTTCTGGAACGATGAACTTTTATTTGGGTCTCAGACATTTTCCAAGGCCCATGAAAAGGCTCCTAGGCTCTAAGTACTGTCGAAATCAGGGGTGCTTGACCTCGTTTTCACACTATAATCTCCAGGGAAACTTTAAAAAAAATCCTGATGCCCAGGCTGCACCCCCAGAAAAATAAAATCAGCATCTCTGGGGGTAGGACCAGATATCCGCGGTTCCTCTTGCTCCCAAGGTGACATCGAGTGCAGCCAACGATGAGAGGCACTGGTCTGAGCAATTTTGTCAAGTATTAGGATCCCTATTTTTACAGCTGGGGAAGGAAACTGAGGCTCAAGGAGTCTCCACCATGTGCTACTCTCATGAAGCCTGATCTCCAATTCAGGTCTCACTAGGAGTGCTATTTGCATTGCCTTCATCCTTGGTCAATAGTAAAACCAAAACCAGGTGCAGGTGCCTCCTGCCAGAAACCTTCCTTACCGTAAGTCCTTCCGGAACTGTGGAGAAGGGAGCCGGGGGTTCCCAGGAAAAAGGCAGCACCCCAGGGGCTGGCCGTAGGGAGAGTCACCACCAACTGGACTCCATCTTTGCCCCACACCTCCTCTGAAAGCAGGTGGAAGTGGCTGTGGCTGTGGGTTTGGGGGGTTCTAGGAATGTTTCCCAGGCTGCTTTGATACCAGGGTGCAGTGCACGATTCTGCCACTAGGTGGCACAGTGAGCTTCCGTAAACCCTGCGGTTTTCACACACCCCCCCCCAAAGGAAGCTAGAGGGCAGAGTTTGGCAACAGGAGCCAAGGGAATGGCAGCCCAGAGCTGCTGGGGATTCCTGTGCTCCCTGGGGCCTGATGGGCCCATTCCTGGCTGGCAAGAGGGATGCAGGGACATGGCTGCGGCCGGACCCGCAGGAGAAGCCACACCCCCCTGTAACTGAGCCCGCAGAGGAAAGCCCGGGAGAAGCCCCGGCTCACCTGCTTCTCCCCACTCTGCCCTTCACCAAGCTGCCCCTGTGGACCCCACAGTTCTGTGAGGAGCACAGCCCACCCCCACCCCCGTGATGCCTACAGGTACCAGCCCTGGGCTTGGAGGTACCAGGCACAGCTCTATGTCCTTACCTGGGAATCTGTCAAATCCTTACCTAGGACCAGACCTCGAGCTCTGACAGGGTCCCTGAAGCTGGATTAATCATCTTCCACACGGCTTGGAGTCAGACTGCCTAGATTCAAAGCCAAGCTCTGCCACTTCCTAGTTGTGTAACTTTGGGCAAGTTATTTAACTTCTGTGAGCCTCAGTCTCCTCATCTGTAAAATGGGAATAATAGTCCACACCATAGGATTGTTGTGAGGATTGAATGATTATGTAGGGTCTTAGCCTAGGGCCTGGCACATAGCAAGTGATAAATGTTAGCTACTATTGTTTAATATTACGACTAATAACCTTGCATACGGGACAGACAGAATGAACCCACCCTCATGTTAAAGAACAACCTCCATTGTGACCACCCAAACACACCCTAGGTTTGAGCACAGGTAGTGGGTCCCGGGCTCCCCATGGTTCAGGCAAAGGCCCAGCTGCGCCTCCAGAGCAGCAAGTACAAGCGTGGAAGCCACCCAGACTCCCATTCAGCACCACCCAGAGGGGATCTCCCCAAAGCCCCCATCCTGAAGCCAGAGCCATTGTCCCCCCAGTCTGGTGAGACCCTCTCTTTGTCCACAGCCCTGAGTGTGTGACCCTGGCCGCTCTGCAGCATAAGGCATCTTCCATCGGGATGCCATCCCCATAGTGTCAGAGTGAGCGCTAGGTCAGGAGAGCTCGGTTCTAGATTTGGTACAATCGTCAACCAGCTGTGTGACCTGGGGCAAGTCATGTGACTGTTCTGGGCCTCCATTCTGCCTCATTTAGATGATCTTTAAATCCCCTCCCAGCTCTAGCATGTGGTTTTACCAAAGCATCTGGCGCACAATAGGTGCTCAATAAAGGTTACTTGGTTTTATAAAATGCAAGACACAACCCTGCTAGGTTTCAACACTCACATGCTTTTCTAGTCTTTAAAACTGAGTGACTTCTGTGATCCAACCCCTAACAAGGCCCAACCCAGGTTAAGAGCTCAAAAAATGGGTATTTAATCAATTCGTTACTTACTTTTGACCTGGCTTTCAGTCAAGCGGTTCCCTCCACACGAGGCTGCAAATGCCCCATAAAGGCTCCAGATTAGAGAATCCGGAAGGTAGCCTCCCCACTAGACTACAAAGCTCCAAGAAGACAGGGTGGGTCCTGCCCATGTCAGGTTCACCACTCCTTCAGGGACATAGTCAGCCCTACCTCCTTAGCATGAGGCGGGTGGGCAGCTGAGCCTCGCCTCATTGGAGGCCTGGGGCACAGAACTGGCAGCCCACCACCATAGGGGAGAGAAGCAGCACAGAGCCTCAAGCTGGGCAAGTCCTTTTATTGGAAAAAGAAATAATAAAACCAAAGGCCACTGCATCACCTGTGCCCAGCCATCCCACAGGAGAGGCACTGGTCAGACATAAGGCCCAGCCACCCAGTGGGCCAGGGAGGGCATGGGCCAGGCCCAGGGGTCAGGGGGCTGCCGTGGAGTTCACTGGGTCGCCGCCTTCTGTGGGGGATCCTTGGACGCAGACCCACCCAGTCGGGCTCAGGGACCGGGCTGCCCTCTGCAGCTCCCTGGGTAGGCATCTCCCTCCCAAAGGCTGCTCTCTTGTCCAAAAGAAAACCAAGCCCCTCTTTGGTTCTAGAAAGCTACCAGCAGTGGCTGGTCTTTCAGATGCCCTTTTAGCACCTCCTGCCAGCTGAGGCAGGCAGCCGCTTTCTGTCCCTTATTGGGGCACCAGGACAGAGCTGCTTCCTTCCCACTGGCCGCCCTGGGCCTTGGCAGGCAGGGCCTCATTGGCTGGGTGCTTCTCTTCCCTTTCAAGAAAGGAGTTTGCCTTTTCCCCTGCAGGTTGCCAGCTCCTTTGAACATCCAAGGAAGCCTTGTTTACGCAGCCTTAGAGAGCTCCAGAGCCTGGGCAGGCTGAATATGCAGCATGTGTGGCCCTGTTGCCTTGTCATGGGGGGAGGGGTGTTGGGAGAGGGACACGGGAGGCCCCAGAAGGTTGGCTCTGATCCTAGACCCCCAACTTCTCTTGTGCTAGAATGTACACAGTAGAATGAGGAGGTGGGGAGAACTTTGCAGGTGGGGGGAGAGACCAGGAAGAAGAGCCAAGCTGGCAGCCCCAGGCAAGGGGCAAGGAGCTTTAGGACATTTATTTACAAAGGGACAGGCTGGACCCATGCAGGGAAGCAGCCACAGACCATCACAAAGATAAGACAGGTCGCAGAGAGGGGCGGTCATTGGCCTGGCAACTAAGGGGGACAGACAAGTGCACTCCCACACCTACACTCACACAAGCGCACTCTCGCACATGCATTCGAGCATGTGATCATGCACACGCCTGCACAGCCACACGTGTATTCGTGCACACAGTACTCTCAGGTATGTGCGTGCGTTCACACACTGGCCTGCACGCACATGCACTCATTCTCTCGTACACACAGGTTCTAATCCCAAGAAGTTGGCTCCAGTCCTGGAGGTTCACACCCCCCAAAGCTACATGTCTCCACGAAGCATTTCTCTAGACCCCCTTATAATAACCTCCCAGAGCCCCAGGCTGTGTGCCCCACAAGCAGCGCCCCGTGTCCTGCAAAATCTCAGGAGTTGGATGTTTCTTGGCAAGGCCAACGTGGCCTCCAGGCTTTGGATGGGGGAAGGGGAAGCCATGAGTCTAGAAGGGGTCAGGACGGAACTGAGTGGCTCCCATCTCCCCAGACCTCAAATCCGGTGGAGGCAGGTTCACAGACAGGCAGAGCCCCTGCAGTGGCCCCAGAAAGAGCAGAACACCGGGAGACAGCCACCGGCAGCAGGACCCTGGGGGGCGAGAGTCCTGGTGGATGTGGGATTTGGGCTGAGGAATCACGCGGGATGGGAATTCTCTCTGGGACCTGAGCCCCACCCCAGGGTGTTGGGAGAGGAGCAGCAGAAGAAAAGGGCTTTCCAAATCGTGTTGCCCACCCCGCCCCAGCCTTGCCCTGGAAGATCTGGCTGCGGTGACCAGACCTGCCCCCTGGGGAAAGTGCCAGGTCCGGAAGTGGGCCGTCCTGCCAGGGGTGAGGGGCAGGAGTGCGGGAGGGGGTGCGGGGAGACGGGCCCCGCCAGGACGTCGAACCAGTCACCCTCCCTCCCGCCCCGGGGAGCAGCCAGGGCCCAGAGAATGACTCAGAAGCGGGTGCTCTGGTAGCGCAGCCGCCGCAGGTCTGAGAGGCCCTCAGTCCGGCCATACACCTCCCTGCAGGGACTCTCGGCCAGTCACCGGGCCCCCGCCCCGCCGCCCCCGCCGCTGCTGCCGCTGCCCGAGCTGCTGCCGCTGCTGGAGCTGCCGCTACTGCACCGGTCCTCGTAGATGGAGATCTCGATCTGCGGCGGCGTTAAGGACGGACCCCCTGCCAGCTGCCGAGAAGGGGCGGACGGACCGGCGGACGGAGGCCGGCAGGGGAGCGGGAGGCCGGCGGGAGCCGCTGCCCAGACGGCGAGGACGGCGAGGACAGCGAGGACGGCGAGGACGGCGAGGACGGCGAGGACGGAGGCTTGCGGCACTAGCCACTAGACCCCGGCCGCCGCGCTCCCGCATGCACGCGCTCGGTGCACGTCCGCAGCGACCCCGAGGGCCGCGCACTCCCGGGTCAGAAGCTCCCACTCTAGTGGGTCTAGCTACCAAACCCCAGGACGGGTGGTGTCACTGCCCACGGCAAGTGGGAGGACTTCGGTGTCCTGCTTTCAAATCCTGACTCGCCTACTCTCGAGCGATGTGGCCTTAGACGGGGTCGTTTAACGTGTTACCCATTAATGATTGCATATGTAAAATGGTGGTAATCCGAGAACCTCGGGGTTGTCTGGGGACTGACTGAAATCACGCATGTAAAGCAGCAAGCACAATGCCCGCTCCTTAGGAAAGGCTCAATAAAAAGAAGCCCGTCTCACAGGGCTTTGTAAACAGAAGATTCCAGTGTTTGTGTTTTCTTTACTCTTTTTCCTCTCAATTTTCTAGCAAAAATTTATTTTTTAACAATTTTACTCTCATTGCTAATGACTGCGGGCGGGATGTGTGCACACACTTCTCCAGGTGAGCAGACCTATAACCCACCCTTGGACTAGCCGCCCATCAAAACTTCATTTTTCTGATCTGTGAAAGGAGGGGGGCGGCAGGACGCACACACAGGAGTACATGAGACTGTAGACATGTAAACGGATGGGAGATCTGCCTATTCCCTGAGGGGCAATACAGCCTCATAGCTAAGTGTGGGCCTGGGCTCCAATCACGGCTCTGATGTCTGCCAGCCAGGTGACCCTGAGCCAGTGACTGACCTTCAGTGTGTTCATGGACAAGGGGAATAATAAGAGTCACCCACCTTTAGGGGTATTATGAGAATTACATCGTTTCAAAGCAATTAATATGATACTGGGCATGTGTTAAGCAGGGAATAAATGTAGCTCGATCAAAGCAAACCCTGAAATTCACAAATGGCATTGATAACTGATGGTGGGGGATGGGAGCGGATGACCCCTGATGTGGGGAATCCTAGGAAATCCCTGAGCAGAGGCCCCTAGGGTGGTCCCTATTTCTTGGTAGCCTCACCAGGGACCCTACTGGTTGGCAGCTCTGTGCCCTTACACAGAACAGCCAGGAAGGATACAACCCTCATCCCGCGCTCCACGGGGTCCGTGAGCAGGAGGCCTCGAGGGGCAAAGATCTTCTCATTCTGCTCCTGGATGTAGCGGGAGATCTTCTTGAGAACCTGCAAAGAGAGGGGCCAGTTGAGGTTGAAGATGCAGCAGGGAGCCCTGGGGGAGGGGATGCAGGGCAGTCCAGGAAGGGAGCCACCTTCTCATAGTGGGTCTCCATGCAGAGGAAGATGAAGTAGGCCGTGGCACAGGCCAGGCAGCCCTCAAGGTAGGAGCTGCCCCCAATCTTCTCGGCCTCCGCGTAGAAGCTGTTGAGGGTCTTCACAGTCTCCTCAAAGAGCTGCCGCTCAATCTGGAGGGAGAGAGGGACAGGGAACCATGTTGAGGTCAGCCTCCCTGGACTGTGGACAGTCACAGGTGGGAAGGAGGATGGCAGTGGTAGGGCCACGCTGATGGGGGGAGATGCCCACAGGCAAGACCAGAGAAGCTGCAGGTGCCTGTGAAGCACTCGACTGGGAGTCAGGAGACCTTAGGAAAGGCTCAATAAAAAGAAGCCCATCTTACAGGACTTTGTAAACAGAAGACCTGGGGTCCAGTCCAGATTTGACCATCAACTAGCTGTGTGGCCTTTGGTTAATGACTTAACTACTCTAGCCTCAGTTTCCACATCTATAAAATGGGAATAAGAATGGCTACTTGGCCTCCCTTGGAAGTAGGAAACTCCCACCATATTGTAGATGTGAACATTTTCTGCGAGGGATCAGGCAGGAATTCTAGTGACCATGTCACCCCTCCCATTTTGATAGCTGTGAAAGCACCCAGGTCCTAATTGGTAGGGGCTCCCCATGTTTGAATGGGACTCCAACTGCGTAAGACTGATTGTGTGAGACCTCAGGAGTGTCTCTCCAGGAGGGGGCACTTCCCTCAAGCTAAGAGGTCATGAAGAACACAACAGCCTTGTGTGTGTGCACAACTTCCTGCCTGTATCCATAATCATAATAGCTAACTTTCTATGCCTTCTATTTTTAAAGGCACTTTCAGATACCAATGTAACATTGTGTGTCAACTATACTTCAATTAAAAACATAAGATGTTTATAAATTCATCTGGCAACTGTAGATTAAAATTAAGCAGTTGCTGGGGCACCTGGGTGGCTCAGTCAGTTAAGCATCTGACTTCAGCTCAGGTCATAATCTCAGGATCCTGGAAAGGAGCCCCTTGTCAGGCTCTGTGCTCAGCAGGGAGTCTGCTTCTCTGTCTCCCTCTGCCCCTCTCCCTCGCCCTCTGCCCCTCCCTCTCCCTCTCGCCCTCCCCATCTCCCTCCCCCTGCTCACACTCCTGAGCTCAGACACGCACATGCACTCTCTCTCTCAAGTAAACAAACAAAATCTTTAAAAAATAAATTAATCGACTGCTTCATCTGAAAAAAGCTTTGCAAAGTCTAATCTTTTTTAAAAATTTAATAAAAGTAAGTAAATAAATAACACACTTTCACGCATTTTTTCACTTTCAGCAGCTCAGAGTTCTGCTCTGTGGTCCAGGTCACCATCATCTCTGGCCTCTTAACTGGTCTCTCTGCCCCCAGCCCTGCCAAGGGAGCCTGCGCATATCACAGCTCTGAAGAAGAGCTTCCAAAGCCTTCTCATCTCTCTCCAAGTAAAATCCAAGAAGTCCTTACAATGACTGCTAGGCCCTGCAGGGTCTGGTCCTGCGTCCCCTGGGCCTGCCTCTTACTCTCCTGCCCCCTCAGTCTCTACTCCGGCCACACCGACTGCCCTGCTGCTTCCTGCAAATGCACAAGTCCTTTGCGCCTGTGACCCTGGATGCAACACTCCCCCACCCCAGGCTCAGGTCTCACCTTACCTCATAGACCTCCCCAGCCACTCCCCTTTCCCCAGCTCTCCCAGCCCCGTGACCTCCCTGCTTATTTTTCTAGTATTGGTCACCCCCAGAGCTGCTACATATTTTTTTTATTTATTTATTGAGAGAGAGAGAGAGAATGATAGAGAGAGAGCATGAGAGGGAGGAGGGTCAGAGGGAGAAGCAGACCCCTGCTGAGCAGGGAGCCCGATGCGGGACTCGATCCTGGGACTCCAGGATCATGACCTGAGCTGAAGGCAGTCGCTTAACCAACT